AAGCATTTACGACAAAGTCGAATAGCTGAGAAATAGTCACAAGTGACGTTAGCACCCAATCCGCACCTCGGAATATCGGCAAAGCGAAGTCCGTTGCATCTTCAGGCCCCAAACGGACCGCTACACAAGATAGCAAAACGGTTATAGATATGGATGGACACTTCCATTTAACGTTTGAAGGGGAAACGCTCCTTAACAAGGAGATAGTGGATAAAGCCCTTCGCTTCTCAGAGGAGAACGATGCTAGAGGTGAGAGGCGCTTCTCGCTAGATAAGGATGATAACCATAAAACCAGATCAGATGAACCCATCGGTAAACAATTCCCAGAGGAGAGATATGACCATACACAACAATGAGAGCTTCCAATGAACTCATAGGAAAACTCTGAGAAGGAAACCCAAGCAATCAAGACCGTAAAAAACTGAAACAATTCTTCATCCATATCTCTGGGTCTTGAGAGGCTTGAAAATGGGCTGTCAGATTTGATGATGTTATTGGGCCAAGTCCAGGCAGATGTAAAATGAAGTTGAAAACCCTTAGATACCTCAAACAGATGTAAGCCGGTACCACACGAGAGGTCACCGGAAACGTAACGCCGGAGGTGGACATAGCCACCAATGAGAAGAGAACACGTAGGGGGGGATGGTATCTCAAAAGAAGGCGAGGAAGGTGAAGAGCTTCCGAAGAGATTCGGATCTAACCTTGAGATACTTTGTAAACTGGCACCGGAGAATGAGAAAGGAGCGACCTTTGTTGAGTTAGTTGTCTCACGACTTACCGGAGACGGAAAGGGTGAGTTTGTACGTTGAGATTTATACTCCAAGAGCGATTGACGAGCGCGGACAGAATCGACGTCGAGACTTGTTCGTCGGTAGCCAGGGAGAGGGTCACTGGGATTTGAACCCGAGAACCCGATAGCAGCGATGGCGAGAGAACCCTCTCGACTCTTCACTGTAGAAAAGAAATACCAAGGAGAGAAGACCGCCGGAAGGACTGTAGAGAGGACGAGGAGCTGAGGCGCTTGTCTTTTGTGAGAGATCCGTCGGGGACTGCTTCCTCTAGTGATTCGAACAAACCAAACCCAAACAAAACGGAAAACGAGAAAGATGATGGTTGCAAAGAGCAGCGTCGAATAGAGTGGCCAGCGCCGGCGAGAACCCGCATCACCGGCGCCGGAAAACATAGATCTGCCTCGAGCTCCGTGCCTGGGAGAGAGTTAGGGCGAACTCGTTCTAGAGTTGTTTCCGTTGAATTTCAAATGAATAAAATACTAATAATTCGCTGATTATAAAAACGATATGATGTGACACATAACAAAATGATTGGAAAAAGACTTCAATAAAATGTATAATTTATAAGACTTCGAAAAAGTCTTTACAATATCGGGTACAAACTTCTTTAAGTCTTTATTTTCTGTTGTACTCCCTCCGTTCTTAAAAGATCCATGTTTTAGAAAAATATTTTGTTTCAAAAAGATGTATATTTTATGTTTTCTATGAAAAAATTACAAGTTTCAAAAAAATTAATTGGTTTTATTAGATTACTATTGGCTAAAAGTTGTTGAAAATTGAAAATTACCAAAAACGATAGTGATTTAATGTGTTTTCTTAATATGTGTGAAAACACTAGAAAGTCTATCTTTTAGGAACAGAGGGAGTATATGTTTATTATTAGCATCCTACTCTATATTATATATAGACCCAACCACAACACTGAATTTCCTAAATAAAACATTTACAAGTTAAACAAACCAAAAATGTCGAACAAACAGGAAGGCTCCGGAAGGTCGAAACTCCGGCGTACTGATAATCCAAGATAAAGAGTCAAAGCCAACGTGTTTCTTGGGGTCTTGCTACGAATCTACACTCAAAGGCTTACCGTTTCCACAGAACGTGAAGCTGACTGTGAAATACAACATCACAGTTAATAACGTGACCACTACTTATCGTGATCCGGTCGTTTTCATCCCCGTTCTTGATCTAAAGCTACGTTCTAACCGCTACTACGCCATTAAACGAAGCGGGAAACACTCAGGGTATGACTTAGAATCAGGAAAAAATGTCAACTTTCTTAATATTTTTATCATGTGATTATTACAATGATTTAACAGATAAAAGCCTAATTCCTTTTATTTTTATTTTTAGAAATTTTTATCGAATTAGTATGGTGCTTAAAACTCTTAGATGATCTAATAAGTTAATTTAAAATTGTATAGGTCATTAAATGTAGATGTACGTGTTTTCGGAGCTAATACCGATTAAGCCCGGTCTCTTAACGGAGTTCTTAGCTTCAGTTAAGAAAATGTTAGAACCGTCTTTTAAATAAGAGATATAATAAAAGATACAAGAATCGTCTTTTAACCGAACAGTATAAAAAAATATCAAATCATAAGTTAAGGGTTAATCATGCTCTAATATCTCTACTTCCCTAGACATTAAAAAGAGTATTTAGAAAATCTTCCCCTAGCTATTATAAATAACTATTTTTACAATCTCAAATGTGCGTAGGAGGACATATATATATATGCCGTAAGTCTTAAATCTTGAGCTTTTCAGTCTTTTCTGGATTATATTAACATGTTTTGATTATCAAGATACCAAACTTTTTTTTAAAAAACCTACGTTGCGAAAAGTGTAACATAAAAACCTAATTCTTTTATATTTTTACTTTCGTAAACTTGTGTCGCAGAGAATCATCGGCTAATGCAACAGAGGAAGACAGAGACAGAATCCCGTTGTGCTTTTGCCACCGCCATTTTCCTGAAGCTGAACCACAACACTCAGATCCTTATGACATACACCAAACTTTCGAGATCCATCCACCAAAATCGTTGTCGCGACGTTACTTTGCAACATCCGTTGGCCTTCACGAGATACCACCAGAGTTACTCGAGAAAAAGTATTGGACCGTTGAGTACTCGACATCGGAAGACAATGGTCTGCGAGATGATGCGAGAGGGTTATACAGACATCGTTCCAAGCTTCCTACAATCCTGAACACAAACGTTTTGGTAGGAAAATGGTATGTACCATTCATATTCGTGCATGAAAGTAACGCAAATGATGATCATCTTAAGAACACAACTTATTACCCCGTGTCGCTTTACCAAAGATGGGAAGAGGTTTACTATTGTGAGAATGCATACAAAGATAACCGCGAGGTTGTAGTTAATGTTCAACTAGAACCACTAGTTGTGAAGCTTGAGGGACACGAGACCGTAGAAGATAATAGAGGAAGTTTGGATATTGAAAATATGGTTGTGTGGTTTGAGGTTGCAAACAAGAGGTTAGGTTTGAAAAATGCTGTCATTGAGAGGATGAAAATGGAAGAGTTGAATTTTGGGTGGAGGAGTGATCCTCAAGAAACGATGATTGAGAGATCCAGCAGATTCAGTGGTGGCGATTCGAATTGGAAGAGGTATAGATTGTATGTGTTGGTGGAGAGCTTTGTGTTGAAGAGAATGGAGGAGAGTATAGTTGTGACTTTTGAGTTCAGACATGTGAAATTGAATACCAAGTGGGAATCATGAGAACTTCTTGTCTTAATTAAAGCTTTTTTGTATGTTGGTAAATGTTATGATTCAGTATCATTTGTAATAAGCTGGTACAGTTTGGAGTTTTCTTTTGTTTCGAAATTTCTTCTTCCTATATGCTCTCCAACTACTTTCTAAATTTATCAAAATTGAATATCTTTAGTAATCATCATTTCAACAACTTTTGTAATTCCTCCATTTAAATCTAACTTAAAAACTTATAAAATAAAAATAAAATCTTCCTTGAAATTTGCTGGTAACGTGCTAAGATTCTGCCATTTAAAAATCTTAGACATACGTGCTTCGACGTGTTTATTATAAGTTGGAAGAGAAATTGTAATTGAGTTTGTCATTCATTTTTTGTTTTATTAATATCAAGAAGTCTATTTACAATCTGCATCAAAAAGCCGTTACCATCACACAAGCTCTCTTCTTACAATCTCCATACCAAGATTGGCTACGTGAATAGATTAGATCGTACAGGTCATATACCTGTTGAATTCAAAGTTTAATAAAATTTGAATTTGTACACAAATTCAAAAACGATGTGACGTGACTATTCAAAAACAGCCAGAAAAAAAAAGACTTCCACTTCCTTCTAAGTTAAAGATCTTGCTTGGAAATGTCTTCTCATTTATCACCTCTTGGAAAAGTCTTTAGACAGTAACCGCGTATAAGGTTGTTATTTAATTATTTTATATTTCTTCTTAACAAACTCTATATAAATAGATCCAATCACAAGTTATACGAATCACAAAACCATTAAAAAATTAGCTTTAATCATTTTACCAGCTAAAACCAAACATGTACGTTACAAGGCGTTTGTCGGAATATCAAAGAAACAGATCGGAGTTAAAGCAAACATTGCCTGAAGGTCCAAACTCCGGTGTACTTATAATTCAAGATGAAGAGTCAAAGCCAACTTGTTGCTTCGGATCTTGCTACGAGTCTGGACTCAAAGGCTTACCGTTCCCACAAAACGCAAAGCTGGCTGTGATATACATCATCGCAGCTGGTAACACGACCGTCGTTTATCGTGATCCTGTCGTTTTCATTCCAGTTCTTGACCAGCCTTTGTCTTCTAACCGTTACTACGCCATTAAAAGAAGCGGGAAACACTCAGGGTATGTTTTCTAACCGTTACTAGGTTATTAACAATCTCAAGTTTAAACAGAACTTAGATGGATGTGCCTAATGTTTTGAGCATGATATCTTACAAATACAGTTAAACTCCTATAAATAATTTTTTTATTAATTTATAAAAATTATTAATTTATCGATATATTAAATGAATCAAAAACTCAATTTAGTGTTATAAAAATATATTAATTTATAGAGATTTTCAGTGTATATTAATTTATCCATTATTAATTTATAGAGGTTCTACTGTAGTATATAAATTTTTTTACAACTTTTTGTGGTGCAGAGAAGCTTCGGCTAATGCGAAAGAGGAAGACAGAGTCCCTTGCTGCTTCTGCTTCAGCCGTGTTCCTGAAGTTAAACCACAACAAGCAGATCCTTATGACATTTACCAACAATTCGAGATCCATCAACGAAAATCTTTGTCTCGATATTACTTTGCAACATCCGTTGCTCCAGACGGTGTACCACCAGAGTTCCTCAAGAGAAAAGGTTGGACCGTTGAGTACTCGACGTCCGAAGACTATGGTCTGAGAGATGATGCAAAAGGGATTAACGCTAAGATTCGTTCTGAGCTTCCTAGTGATCTGAACAGAAGCGTTGTGGTAGGGAACTGGTACGTACCTTTCATATTCGTGAAGGATGGAGATGCAAAGGATCAGCTTAAGAGCTCAACTTATTACAGAATGAGTCTTTACCAAAAATGGGAGGAAGTTTACTCTTGTGAAAACGCTAACAAAGAAAACCGCGAGGTTGTAGTCAATGTGGAAGTTGAGCCAGAAGTTGTGAAGCTTGAGGGACAAGTTATCGGAAAAGAGACAATAAATGTGGATGAAAATGGGGTTGTTTGGTTTGGGGTTCCAAACAAGAGTTTTGGTTTGAGGTCTTTTGTCACTGAGAGGATGAGATGGGAAGAGGAGAGGTTCGGGTGGAAGAGTGGTCCCCAACGAGCAGTGGCTAAAATATCTGACAGGTTTGATGGAGGAGGTTCGAGTTGGAAGAGCTATAAATGTTATGTGTTGGTGGAGAGCTTTGTATTGAGGAGAACGGATGAAAGTGTGGTCTTGACATTTGAGTTTAAGCATGCTGATAAGTTGAAGAGCAAGTGGGAAGCATGAACAGCTTCTTGTATTTAATCTTTTGTGTTGGTTATACGTGGTTTTTATTCAGATTTATATGAATCAAATAATAAACAGATTGTAACAATGTCCCCATCAAGAACCCATTAACAAGGTTCAACAAACAATATCATATATAAAGAAGGAAAAACAAGAAATGATGTTACATTTTGCATCTTTTCAAAGAAGATGAAACTGAAACTTCTCTAATGTAGTAAAACAGAAAATACAAAAACAAAACCTTTCTCTAGAACTAAAAAATCCTTATGATGCACTCTTTTGCCTTTGCATCCCAACTTCTTTTCTTCCAATATTTTTTTTTTGGAATTGGTGAGAGACTATATTATTAGTCTTATGTTTTTGGCAATTCAATCTTGTTAGCCTCCACAGTGTGGCTCATATACTCTTTTTTGCCAAAAGATTGTTCATCTTAAAATTATCACTTTTGCAAAGTTAAATAGAAAAATATATTAATCACTAATGAACATGTCTATTTCATTAAATCCGAAGGTAAATAATTTGCTTGATGAGTCGTATGACCCACGGTTCTATTTTATCATATGCCTGGTTTCTTCTTGTCTACCTTTTTCCCTCATTTGATAGCTACTCTTTTGGTTTTTAGTATACATGTCTCTAGACAAACAAAAACCTTATAAAATTAAAGAAAAATAATTATAAAATCATTAGTTTTGCATTTTTAAATTAGTACGATTTGTTCATTTCAGATAATATACAGATAAATAAAACATCATGTTTTAGTTAAAAAACAAATAAATTATCTTGTACACATATTCAACTATCTAAAGAGATGGACTAGATTCGAATTTGGATATTTATAATACTTTGAATAATTGGCATCTTATACAACAAAATTTTGTAATATGCTAAAGAAACCCCAAATTAAATACATTAAAAAAACCGAAAAATTGCTGCGGTCGCCACATCTCTCTCTCACTCCTCTGATAAGACAGAACCAATGTTCATTTCCGACAAGCCTCGTCCCATCGACTTCTACAAAGACGATAACACCACCAATCCCTCCACCACCACACGCGACAACATGATCATCGACGTCACTGCCAATCACAACCATCACAATCATCTCCAGCCGCAACAGATCCTCTTAGGAGAAAGCAGCGGAGAGGATCACGAAGTGAAAGCTCCCAAGAAACGAGCAGAGACATGGGTTCAAGACGAGACACGTTCCCTGATCATGTTCCGTAGAGGCATGGACCGTCTCTTCAACACCTCCAAATCCAACAAGCATCTCTGGGAGCAGATCTCAGCGAAGATGAGGGAGAAAGGGTTTGATCGGTCTCCGACTATGTGTACCGACAAGTGGAGGAATCTGTTGAAGGAGTTTAAGAAGGCTAAGCATCATGACAGAGGGAATAGATCGGCTAAGATGTCTTATTATAAAGAGATTGAGGAGATTCTTAGGGAGAGGAGCAAGAAAGTGACGGCGACAGGACAGTATAGCAAGAGTCCTAATTCAACACCCACTGCTAAAGTTGATTCCTTTATGCAATTTAGTGATAAAGGTGAAAGCTTTGAGTGGCTAAGCTTAGGGGTGCTCTGTTTCTTGATTAGGGTTTGTATTGATAAGATGGTTGGTACAGTTTGGGCAATGCTTTAGGCTGATTCCTTTATGCAATTTAGTGATAAAAGTAAAAGCTTTGAGTGGCTAAGCTTAGGGATGCTCTGTTTCTTGATTAGGGTTTGTATTGATAAGAAGGTTGGTACAGTTTGGTACAGTTTGGGCAATGCTTTAGGCTGTGATGATACTAGTTGGAGTGCTATTTTTAAGTATGTTTCTTAATATAGCTAAGAAGATGTACTTTTGGGTACTTAAATCTGCTAAAGTTGATTTCTTTATGTAATTTAGGGATGCTTAGTTTGTTGATTTGTTTTAGGGGAACTCAGATGTGATTAGGGTTTATATTGATAAGATAGGTGGTAGAGTTTGGGCAATGCTTTAGGCTGAGATGATACTAGTTGTAGTGCTATTTTTAGAGTATGTTTCTTAATATAGTCTCATTGGTCTTTTAATAAAGATGATATTTTTGGTACTTGGTTTTAGTTTGTTTTTGTTTAAAGTGGCAAATTTGATCTTTCATCGTAGGTTTTGATGATCCGAGCATTTCTTTTGGATCTGTTGAAGGTACTCATCTTATCATTGACTTTTGTGTGTTAACTATATCTTGCTATATTACAAAGAGGGATATCTTGAAGCTTATAAATTGAAATTGATGTGAATAAGTTCTCCTTGATTGAGAGCAATCCTAGAAAACAAAGAGTTGCATGTGCAAAGAGGAAATAATTCTTCTGTGGCATGGGACTAACAAAGAGTTTCTCTGTTATTTGATTTAGTTTGGTTTCTAGAGGATGTGTATGTGTTTTGATAAGTTTGTGTTCGTCTATGTTCTAGCTAATGGCAGACCAGCGCTTAATCTTGAAAGGCGTCTTGACCATGATGGTCACCCACTTGCTATCACTACAGTTGATGCTGTTGCAGCAAATGGAGTTCCTCCTTGGAACTGGAGAGAGACTCCTGGAAACGGCAAGTATAATAACTTTAAGCCTCAAAGCTTTATTTTATAACTTCATGTTTCAAACAGTTTTTGAGGTTGCTTCACAGGGTCTGTCTGTTCCTCTGCTTGCTGATTATGTCTTGTAACTAATTAGAGATTATTTTTTATGTATGTTAGGTGGTGATTCTCAGGGTCAGCCTTTTGGTGGGAGGATCATAACTGTGAAATTTGGCGACTATACAAGAAGAATTGGCGTTGATGGTAGCACTGAAGCAATCAAAGACACAATCAGATCTGCTTTTGGTTTAAGAACTCGACGAGCTTTTTGGTTAGAAGATGAAGATCAGGTTGTTCGTTGTCTTGACCGAGACATGCCCTTAGGGAACTATCTACTCCATGTCGATGATGGTAAGATTTAACCACATTCCCATCTGTTTCTACACCAAATACGGTTTACTGAGTTGTCAATATCCAAACCCCATTTTGCAGGACTAACCATCAGAGTTTGCCATTATGATGAATCCAACCAGTTACCAGTCCATACAGAAGAGAAAGTCTTCTACACGGAAGAAGATTACCGCGATTTTCTGGTAAGAAGGGGATGGACATGTCTTCAAGATGATGGTTATAGGAACGTAGACAACATGGATGATCTTCAACCTGGTGCTGTGTACCGAGGAGTGAGATGAGAAGAATGTGAGCTTCTCGTCCAAAACCATCAACAGTTAACCTAATCGCAAAAACTGTCTACTGTAAATAAATGTTTTTCTCATTCCCTTTGTACATTTCCTGCTTTTTTTTTTCTGGGAAGAATAAAGAATTTAATTACTCAGATGTAACATTTATCTACTTGGATTCACCTTACGGGCTGAGACGTCAAATTGTAGATTCGTATGTTACGTTTTGGAAAGATCATAAGAGAGTGCGAGGCAATAATGTGTGTGTGTTGTTGTTGTGTCAGGCTTCATTCGTTGTTATTCACAATTTCTCATTTCCACTACTTAGTCAAAATTTAAAGCAAACAGAAAGAGTATAGTCTAATGCATATGTGGTGAGTTAATGGAAATGATTAGTGAATACATAAGCCCATAAGACCAATGTATCTAGATCTAATCCATCACGTAACTGGACTAACACTGGTTCTAAGCAGGTGTACATGGATAAATATCCCTTTCGTTAAAGCTTGTAATGATTTGTCATTTTCTTGTCATGAGGGTTTAAGAATCGTTCCGTTCACAAAAAAAAAATATATCTAGATAAGAGAATCATTCGATTCTATCTTTTTTTCCGTTCTTTAAGAATCGAATGTTAACATATATACATTGATAGTGACATGTTTTTGGTTTTTTCGATCTTTATGAGATTACACATAACTAGGGGTGGGCACAATTACTTGTTACTCGGCTTGTACTCGCTACTTGATTCGTATTTGGCTCTTAAAGTCGAGTACTCGTTTTGTCCAAGTCGAGTATCAAGCCGTTTGTTTCAATTACTTGCAAGTACAAGACAAGTACCAAGTACTAAAATAAAAATAACTACTTGGCGTTGTTGGCTTGTTACTCGTGATTTATTATTTGATTTATTACTCGTTTTTTATTTTTAGACAAACAAATCTCGAAATTATAATCAAATTACTTGTTTATAAAAAAAAAATTAAAGTGATATATAATAGAAATATTTTAAAGTTTTCTTTTATTTTTATATCTATAATATATCGATTTAAAAACATATGAAAAGTAAATAGATATTCTTTATTAAAAATTGTTTAGATTATAATTATAACTAACTAAATGTTTTTAAATTCATATACAAGATTTAAGTAGCAAACGTTAACAAACTTTTATTAAATAATTTAAAATAATTATATAATCATTTATAAATTAGTTGAGATGTAACAAGTAGTATAATGGAACAAGTACTTGCAAGTATACCTTTTTTAGCAAGTACTTGAAAGTGCAAGTACTCGTTTTTAATAAACCAAGTACAAGTCCAAAATTTTATTACTCGAACAAGCCAAGCCAAGTACCAAGTAAGCCAAAAATGGCAAGTACTTGGCTTGTGCCCACCCCTACACATAACATTGTGAACACTTCAAGATAAAGGGATAAGGGCCGGACAATAATCTGAAAAATTCAAGAATAACAAATGAAAAGTCCACCTTGACTATTCAAAACAATGGTTTAAGGGATAGAGGTTGAAAATTGAGTGAAACTGAATTGGCATTTAGGATAAGTGTAACATAAGAACAGTGTTATCATGATTCATGCCATTATATTAAAGCATTAATGTTTTGATTAATAATCTATAAAACTGTGGCACTACATGGTAAATATGAAAATTAGGTGGAGTTGCGAAGCTAAAGAAAAAATATGAAAAATCACAAAGGTTTTCAAAGGAAAAGGTTGTGTTATCACAGTGTTCATCAACAACTAACCAAAGTTTAACGACACTAAATAATATATTCATTACTTAGACGTGGTATGTGGTGTACTCCCATTGGCTATCTAATAATAAGGGTATTAATCAGTTAGGATTTAAAAGCTTTAAATCCTCGAATATTCTCTAATACTTGCGCGTGAAGTGTAAGAAGCGCCAAGAAACAATCTCATCCGTAACCTTTTGTCCCAAGAAACAATCTCAGCCACACGATCAAAATCTCGATCGCTTTATATAGCCCTAAAGCCTCACCAAACTCTCTCACTCTCTAACTATCTTCACATTCGAGCTTTGCTTCCTCTCTCGATCCCATCGTCATCTTTAAATCTCTAAAATGGGTGAGATTCATCGTTAATGTTTTTTTTTTGTTGTTATTGTTTCTAAATTCGTTCGTGTTTTTGTTTGTGTAGCTGACAAGAAGATTAAGATCGGAATCAACGGTTAGTATTGCTTCATAGGTTTTGGTTAGCTAAGATCTGTGGGAAACTGAGTTTTATGGTGTTTGTTGGTAAAAGGTTTCGGAAGAATCGGTCGTTTGGTGGCTAGAGTGATCCTTCAGAGGAACGATGTTGAGCTCGTCGCTGTTAACGATCCTTTCATCACCACTGAGTACATGGTGAGAGTTTCTCTACTTTTAATCCCATTGGTTACTATCTTTGACTAGTACATATTTAAAACCTAGATTAATGATGTGTGTGTGTGACTTAGTTTAATTGTGTGTTGTAGACATACATGTTTAAGTACGACAGTGTTCACGGTCAGTGGAAGCATAATGAACTCAAGTTAAAGGATGAGAAAACACTTCTCTTTGGTGAGAAGCCAGTCACTGTTTTTGGCATCAGGTTTATACATGAAATCTTATTTATTCGTATCTTATGGAGAGTTATTTATAAAATTCTGATTTTTGTGATGTTTTTTTTTTTTTTAACTTTGAAGGAACCCTGAGGATATCCCATGGGGTGAGGCTGGAGCTGACTTTGTTGTTGAGTCTACTGGTGTCTTCACTGACAAGGACAAAGCTGCTGCTCACTTGAAGGTTTGTTTCCATATGATTTTTCATGTTGTATATGTGTAGTATGCATATAGATTATTTTGTATGCTGTACCTAGTTTGGATCCTAGGATTGCTCATGTAGGTCTTGCAATAATTATAAATCTAAACATGTAACTTATTGGATGAAAATCTTTCAACTGAATTGATTTTTTTTGGTGGTCAGGGTGGTGCCAAGAAGGTTGTTATCTCTGCCCCAAGCAAGGACGCTCCCATGTTTGTTGTTGGTGTCAACGAGCACGAGTACAAGTCCGACCTTGACATTGTCTCCAACGCTAGTTGCACCACTAACTGCCTTGCTCCCCTTGCCAAGGTCATTCACCGCCTATTACAAATCAAATTGGTTGTGTTGTGTCCAACTTTCTAATCCTATTTTCGAATATTTGGTTGCTTCTTGTAGGTTATCAACGACAGGTTTGGAATCGTTGAGGGTCTTATGACCACCGTCCACTCCATCACTGGTAAATTTCTCAATCTTCACCAAAAAAACTTGTTGCCTGTAAGAGGAAACTATGAGCTAATGGGGTTAGCTTTATGATTTCAGCTACTCAGAAGACAGTTGATGGTCCATCAATGAAGGACTGGAGAGGTGGAAGAGCCGCTTCCTTCAACATCATCCCCAGCAGCACAGGAGCTGCCAAGGCTGTCGGAAAGGTGCTTCCACAGCTCAACGGAAAGTTGACTGGAATGTCCTTCCGTGTTCCCACCGTTGATGTCTCAGTTGTTGACCTCACGGTTAGACTTGAGAAAGCAGCAACCTACGACGATATCAAGAAGGCTATCAAGTAATCTTTTGATCATATCTTTTGTAAGATTAACTTAAAATTTATTGGTTTGTTACAAATACAGGGAGGAATCTGAGGGAAAGCTAAAGGGAATCCTTGGTTACACAGAGGATGATGTTGTCTCAACTGACTTCGTTGGTGACAGCAGGTCGAGCATTTTTGACGCAAAGGCTGGAATCGCATTGAGTGACAACTTCGTGAAACTTGTGTCTTGGTATGACAATGAATGGGGTTACAGTACCCGTGTGGTCGACTTGATCATTCACATGTCCAAGGCCTAAAGCGTTGTAAGAGAAACAAGATCTCGATAATGTCAAATGATGTCTGAATTTTCGAATAAGTTTTCTCTGGCCGTAATGGGAAATTTGTAGACTGTTTGGTTTTATTGAAGCAACTTTGTTTGGCTTTTGATATAATGAGTTACTCAAATGTTTTGTGTTTGCACTATGAAGAGTTCTCTCTTCTCATATCCAGTGAATTAAACTATAACGTCATCGGTAAAATGATTTTTAAACAATGCTAATAAGTAACAGTTCTAATACCTCAAGGATATATGAAGTTGTACAAAAGCTTCTTCAAGACTACATCAAATGTTCTTGAAAATTTTCTTCTTCACCATCGAGCAAGGCGTTGAAGTTCTTTAGCTCTCTCTCAAGATCCTCATTTTAGGATGCTTCTCTCCCCCAAGAATAAAACTTCACTAAACCATCATTAGTCTCAATCCAGCTAACACCTGCTTCTTTCTTAGAACTTGATGCTGTAAAGACTAAAACAATCTGCGTGGAGTTAGACAAGAAATTTACTCCAAAGGAACATTGTATGCCTCCTACACAAGAAGGTAAAATGTCTTGAAGATATCTCTAGCACTAATACATGAGAGCCAGTGCTAACTGCTAACGTGTATCTTGAAGACATGTGCTTTTTATGATATCAACTTGTGTGCAATGCGACCCTTTTCTTTTATCTGGATATATTGAATGTCTTCTCCTCAGAAATCTCTTTCTGGAGGAGAAGACATATGCTTTTTTATGATATATTAGACAAAGCTCAGTACTGTCATTAACGTGTAAAGTAAAGAAAACAACAAAAGTGTCAAGTATATCGTTGCCAAACCTCATCAACTCTTTCTAACAAACACAAAATGCAATTCTAATTGTTTTTTTTTGGCTAACTTGTAAATTTCATATTAATGAAGAGATAAATTTTTCAAAAAGCAAAATCTAGAGAATAAAACAGGGAAAGACAAAAGAATTTGGATCAGCTGATCCATAACCCCATAAGATTGGAAAATTGTTTCTGATTCCTAGTACAATGCTAGAGGTATTAATCTATTCTATTAAAAAGTACACATTTAAAGATATGGTTATTATGTTGGACACATTTAAAGATATGGTATTAATCTATTCTATCAAAATTGATAGCCCATCTGTTGATTGGTTCATTTGGTTGATTATTTTAGATTAGGTTTTATAGTCTAATAACTTTCACTAAAATGATGCTGATGTTTAACCATTCGAATCCATCGATCTTGAAACATGTGGATATGTTAAATAACTTAAATTCTGTGGGTATTAATTAATTATTTTTATACAATTTAAGTTCTAGTTGAAATGTTGAATAATGCTTTAGTCCACCAAATTGTACTTAGAAAATGCATATTGACGAAAAATTCATAAGACCAAGATATGGTCAACATATTCCTTTACGTAGCTACTACCAACATTATATAACTAATAAATACGTAGAAAATTTGTAATCTAGATTTATCATTAAAAAAGTTCCAACTCATACCTAAACCATTTTGTAAGGTAAAATCTTATAATTGTTTTAACTTTTAACCATTCACTTTCTTTCGAAGTTGGCTATAAGCATTGGCTTCTCGACAGGCCCGTCTTTAGGCATGTGCACAAGGTGCATTTGCACTGGGTCCAAATTTTTTTTACAATTTTAGTCAGCTTTTAGGGCCCATTTTTTTAAGATTCAGGGCCCTCTTTTCAGATTGTTCTATATTGTTTTTATAAAATTTGCACAGGGCCCTATAAAAGAATGAACTTAAATTGTATAAAAATAATTATGTGGATCGGAGGATGATATTTCATATGATTATATGTCTGTAGAAATAGAATCTGCACACTAATGTTATGTTGCAGACTTGCAGTTAGGGGAAAAAAAAAATCATTGGTTGCAAACTTATATAACAACGCTTCAAATCTTGCAATAGGTACATCAAAAGGACAATACTACTCGACTCTCTGTTAGAACATTAGTTTTGTATTACTGAGATATCCTTCACATGGTCATATCGCCAAATACATAAGAAGTTATGATCATACCTTTGACATTCACATGAAATGAAATGAAAAGAAAGGTGCGAACTGGTAAAAACTTCTCATTCTATTTAAGCTCTCGAGACATCTAAATATCATTTTGGTCCTATAAACAAAATATACAGTTCATCATTACAACAATAACAACTCATGAACCTTTGGTAATAAGAAGAAACTGATGCAACTAAAGTGGAATAAAAAAAGAAGAGAGATTAAAACTCAAGAAAGAGGAGTTGTTACGAGGCGTGAAAGATGCGTTGCTTCTTACTACACACCAACGACAACATCTCACCATCGTTCACTCTCTTGTTCCCTACCACATCCTCTCTCCAACCCTCTGGTGAAATGTTGACTCCGAAAAGTCTCAAAACCCGACCCGCATCCACAACCAATCCGGATCTAGACTTCCACCCAATGTACAACTGTTGATCCTGACCATCAGATCTACTAAAACTAACCACATCACCAGCACGTAGATTCTTCTCCTTAACAAACCGGCTCCAACCTTTGGTCAACACATAGCTTTGACTACTGTTCCAATACGAGTAACGGAACCTCCACACTTTCCCCGTCACGTCCTCAAAATTCAACAACACTCCTTTAACCGAAACGTTACTCAACGGAGGTAACGGAAAATATTTCTCCGCGTGGTGTTTCGGTATCACAAGCCGGTTTAGCTTCCCAACGTCGCTAGGCGTAACAACTTTCTCAAATAAACTAAACTCCGTCGTCGAAACGCCGTCGTTTTGCGTCATCGACCTAACCGCGTTTCCATCACCGCTACTACGTCGCCGTTTGCTCTGCTCTAGCTCCTCGCTATACGTATGCTTTCTCAGCATATCAACGACCTCAGACTTCGAATGCGTGTTCAAGAACTCGACCTCTCTTGCGTCGAGCCTCGCGTCTTTGAAGTTCGTGACGGCGTCTCGGCCTCGGAACCGGTGAACCGCCACGTCGTAAGAACGCGCCGCCTCGTCTTCCTCGTTGAATGTCCCGAGCCACACGCGCTGGTGCTTCTCGTATATCTGAGCTCCCCACCGCCCGTTCGGCTGAGGGACCACGCCTTTGTACTTGGACGACGGAAGCTTCCTAGACTCCGCCTCAGCTCCGTTCTCGGAATCTAGCACCACGCTAGATCCGCTCCCCATCCGGTGGAGATTCGCCGACGTTTTTCTCGACGTTATGACCGGAGTTATAACCGGAGTTTCACACATGGAGCCTGTACTCGTTGTACTCTCGTCTACGCTACTTACTTCCATAACTTTGTTTAAGTTTTACTTTTGAGTTGTGAAACAAAGGAGAAGTCAGAAATGTATTTTTCAGAGAGAGCTTGTTGTTGTGGGTGTTACATATGTATAAATATGCATGTGTATATATATGGAGAATGGAGAGAGTGCAGGGAGGGAAGTAAAGAACAGTGTTTAACTTATGTTATTATTATTTTATTTTCACTTTTTATTTGTGTTGCAACACATAAAGAATATATCTAGAATGCATGTTCCAGGGGAGTAATTATAGTATATGGGCAGGTGTATGGGGGAGTGATATGGGTTGTGTGTATGGGTCAACTTAACATCCAAGGGCAGCTTCGTGGAAAACATATTGAAAAGATTATAAGATTACAAAATGTATTAAGTATACGCATTTAACTTGGTTACTATATTAGGTCAGTTCATGGCTCATGGTGCTGTTAAGTTTAAAAAACACATGACCAGTAACCATTTGGAATATTATACGATGTGTTTTTTCTTTTTTTTTTTCCATTTCGTTGTATATAAAAAAGGGATTTCTGGAACAGAAGGGTCTTCTGTATCATGAGTCTTTTATAGAAATCATAAAAAAATACTTTTATAGAAATAAATATGTTGTGAGCTGTGTGCATGGAGAAGTGGGTCCTACGTGTGGACCAGGATAAGATAAAGACTCCACGTGAGAAATTGACATCAGTTTACTGAAGTTCATCCCCCCTGAGTTTTGATGCTTCTTTGAAAAAAGAAATAATACTAGTAACTGTGATTAAAAAAGAGGAAAATATTAGATTTGGTTGCCATGTTAAGATTCTATTGCTGCTAAATGTAGTCTGTTTTTCAATATTTGCTTCTCCAAATCTGATTTATAATATTCTTCAATCTTCAGTAATGATTTGTTCTGATTACATAAAGTTATTCAGCCAATAATATAAGTACAGAAAGATATGCATCTTCTTATTCTTTGTGCTAGGATTTATTTTTCACATTTTTAGATGTTTTTATTCTTGTTCTTCTTTTAATCAATCTTATCCTACATTTTTGTTTATAAAAAAATTGCGTATTGTAATTATAGTCAGTGGACTCACTAAGTTTTAAATCCAGAAAACTATAGAGTTTTCTTCTATGTTTTTGTTTGTATATCCCGATTCATAATCTCATAAATGTGTGATTGAACACGATTTAAATGAATTATTTTTTTTTATAGTTATCATACTTAACCATTAGCAAACATAAACAATCAAGATTTAGCCAATGACAGTGAACATCACATATATATACATACTTGAAAAACAAACATAATTAATTTTACTAGCCTTTGATTGTGTGTTTTACTCATATGGACGATAATACTGGTGTGATTTAATACCATATTTTCATATTTTAAATAGTTAGGTTTGATCCAATCAGAGCTATGCGAAATATCATGAGGTCCAAATTTTATAGGCTCTTCCTTTTCCAATAGAAGAATTGTTGACATTTGTGTATCTATTTGTTAATTTGCTTGTTTCTATTTCAATTTTTGCTATTGTTAGTACAACGAGATTAATATTCAACTTGATCCACTAGATAAAAAGTGGGCCAATGACAAATCACTAAGAAGCATGAGAGACATGTCATACATGTTTTGTGTGGATGAATAATGATACTGGCGTTTCTTGACAGTAGGACAATTACTTTTCTTTTTTTTTTCACAAAATTTGAAAACTATCAAAATAGGATCAATACAATTAGAGGTCATAATATATAGTTGTTGCCAGTTTCATATCTTTGCTACCATTTTTATGTGGTTTGTGGTTCTATTTAAGTATTTTACTAAATTGGCGCTTAGAATAATAATTCAGTTTTCCGCAATGTCATTTAAGCTGTTTAATTTCATGACTAATTTTCAATTGACTTAATAGAAATCAATGCATAGAGATACTTTTGGCCTTATAGACCCAATACAAAAAAGTTAAAATCACAACCAATCTAATTCTATATTCAACTATATCTAGATAATTTATGAGACCACAAAAGAAAATGAAAATATATGAAATGGTTGGGATGAGGATGTTGTCATGTAACATTTGTTCCTCACTTGCTTTATTTTAATTTTTTAGTATTGGTCTCTATAAAAGAAATTGTACACAATTTTGTTTCTTGTTATAGTTCTTAATATTTGAGATCCAAATTGATTTTGAAAATGATAGATTATTGATTAAAAGTGTATAAACTTGTGATAATTATCGAATAAATGCATTTCTTGCACAATTTCATTGTTGTATATGTTAATTTTTCATTCAGTTAAAAGTTTAGTTTTTCCTATATGCAGTCTTTAATTTTTATTTAGAATTTATATGACTGCATATGTTTAAATACTATGAAAGATAGTAAAAGTAGTCTGTTATACGAAAGATTGAAATGATTTTTAATGCATAAAAGGTTGAAACTTTGGACATTTGTGATTGATTAGAGAAACAAAATAGATATAACAGTAATAAAAATAAGCATAGAGTATGATTTATGATGATGCTAAAAAAAATATAGATATAATAGAAGAATTATTTGTACGGACGAGTTGTTATTGGTCCAAAGGTGGACCTCATTTTCCGCAACGTGGTCCTTCAATTTCATTAGCTTGTCAATGTGTTATTTCTGTTTTCGTTAAATAGTTTTGTCCCTTGCTTTAATTTTGTCAAGTTTTGAATAGACATATTTCGACTCAAAGATGAAAAAACGATTTTGGGAAAATATTGGATTCTTCAAGGGACTGACTTTAGAACTCTTGATATCTTATATAATCCACTTTCTTTTGAAAAGTATTTAACTAAAATTGCTTTAACGAACATGTGTATATTATGAACGTCCTACATTGAATATGCTGTAAGTACAAAATTTCTTATAATTTTTATTTACTTATATAGTTTTTTTTGTTTAAATATTTACTTATATAGTTATGAATATATTTTGATTGTTTCATATTATGTTGATTTTTCCCATTTTTTTATTGTTTCATATTTTGTTGATTGTTTAGTATGCAAACATGGAGAAAGATGAAGCTTTTTTTTGCTTTACCCTGTGATGAAACAAGCGAATTCTACTTGTTATGCAATTGCATATGTTAGACAGCTTGAGTTTCACCTAAAACAGAACAATCTAATGCCTCAGGATCAGCATATATCAATTCAAGATTTTATCGATCAAATACCCAAGGATTACCTAGAAGAAAATGGTTCAATTGAAGTAGATTCTTCTCGTGTGATTTATTTCATGAGAGATAATGAGATCTTACTTGCAAATGATTGCCCTTTGACTGAAAACCTAAATCATATTCCTTATGATACTGTTAGTCAAATTCAGTCAAATTATTTTTACATTTTTATGCTCTTTGTTTGTTAACATGTTGCGTTTTAGGATAATCTGCGAGGTCCTAGGTTCTATGCAAAGAAGATCACGGTGCACAAGTTGTATCCTGAATGAAGTCTTAAAGGTTACTCAAAAGGAATATGATTTTTTTCATAACAAGTTTGTACAAAAGTTGATTTTTTTTTGAAACTGACAAATCTGATAATAACTTTAAGGATATTACTCTCTCTTTTTTTCTTAATGTGTATGGACGTTTCTAAACTGTAAATATTAACAATTTATATTACATTGCAACATATTTGGTCAGTTAAAATCTTTAACACTAAAAAATAAAACCTACCGCTACACCCCAACGGAAAACTGAAGAATAATAACTATTTTTTTGATTATTTACCATTTTTGGATTGTTTTTGTTTTGTTGATTGCGATTGATTCTTATCATCTCTGTCTTTTTAAATCGTTGAGTTTTTTATTTGATTGTTCTATTTTTGTTAGGCTGCGAACATGGAGACAGAAGAAGCCGAGATTGCTTTGCCCTGTCATGAAACAGAAAAAATCAACTTGTTATGCTATAGCTTACGTGAGGCAGCTCGAGTTCCACCTCAAAGAGCATTTATCTATCCAGGATTTCCTCAATCAGATTCTCAAGAGTTACCTTTTAGAAGATGGTTCGCTCAATGTAGATTCTTCCTTTGTGATTAATTTACTTAAAAAGATGGAGTTCTCCTTGAAAGGGATTGTCCTCTGACCGAAGACTTGGATAAAACTGTAAGTCAATTTAGTTTTCTGTGTTCTTTATTTGTCAACTTTTATGCTTTTGTTTGTTAACATTTTATATTTTTGTTTGTTAAACATGTTGTGTTGTAGGTTCTTCTCCCAGGTTTAAGGTTCAAAGCCAAGGAGATCACTCAGCACAAGCTGTATTTTGAAGGATGTCTTGAGAGTCAAGATGAATATGATAAGTTCCATGCGATCCTTCTTCAAAAGTTGAAGAAAGGAGTTCTATCTGTTAGCTTACATATTTATCCCAGTTACTCGAGTCTGAAACACAAGGCAAACCATTTGTTTTATCTGTTTTTTACTTTTTCGTACATGAAATTTTTGATGATTGGGTTGTGATTTTTTGTACAGGAGATTTACTTTCCCACTAAGAATGAAATGGCTGGCAACACCGAGCGTTATGGTCATGTTATGGTTTGTACTGGCCATAATTATGACAGATTGAATCGCTTGTACTATGAGTTGCAAGAAGTTGCTGGAGTGAAGGTTTGTGATCAAGGTTTTGTAAGGGTGTATGCTGATCTGGTGTATCAATTCATTGAGATGGTTGTTTAAGGTAATGAATACTTCTTTTTGTTTTGTTTGCTATTACGCTTTGTTTGTTGCTGTTTTCCCCTTTCTGTTGCTGCTTTGATAACTAAATTTGATTACTGAATTGTGCTGGATGGATAATGTAAGTTAGTTTGGAATGCCTACGTGTTTTTGCTGTTTTCCCCCTTTCTGTTGTTGCTCTTTTCCCCTTTCTTCTGTTGCTGATTTGATTACTGAATTGTGCAGGATTGATGCCACTTCTAGGTAAAGAACCTTGAAGATTCCTGTTTACTTCTAGGCCAAACTTCTTTTTATTATGTTTTGAACAGTCTTTCTTTTTTGTCTCAAATGCGATTAGCTATGGAGTTATTGTGTCTTGGAAAAAATGTGTTTATGTGCGTGCATAGTGTTTATGCGCTATTCCTGATCTACCAACTTAAGGTACCACTTTATTAAGATAATTAAATATTTCCGAAAAACAACTGGGATTAGGATTAGTGACAAAATCGAATCTAAAAGGGTCCATCACGTCAGATGAACAAAAAGATATTGTATGTATTTTATACATGTCTTATGCTTGTCCTCCTTTCTCTTTCGTGACGTTGGAGACTTGGAGATATCTCGATAAGTTTTGGATTCGGGTTAAGGACTGCATCAAAATTATTATATTTTTTACAAATTAGATAGTGTTGATGATGATTAGTTGATTACTATCTACAATATAAAAGCAACTCCGTCCATAGTATGAGGGTGCTCTAAATGAACATGTGCCATACGATCCGTTACATCTAAATATGTACATCTATATATAAGATAAAAGAACTAGTTCTATGTAAAGTTTGCTAGTTTTATGGGTCGAGACCGATTGATGTAAAGGTTTTGGTTAGTTAATAATTAATATTTCTTCTATTCCTAAAAGACAAATATTTTAAAAATTAAACTTTGTTTCAAAAAAAAAAATACTGTTTTAAGTTTTATGCAATTTTTACTAGTTAACAATGGTGAATTGTATTTCTTTTAATTGTACTTTTGAAGTAGTATCAATTTAAAATTATGAAAATTAGTAAATAGTATAAAAAATAATACATTTAGTATCAAAATTTATTATGTTTTAAATATGTACGTAAAACACATAAACATATATCTTTTATTTGCTGGTTAAACATCAACATATATCTTGTTAGAGCAAAAAAAAAAGAACATTTGTATGGTTTTAGCTAAAATTTTGAACAAGCTTAAACAAAACAAAAGATTATCAAGATATGTATGCACGAAGAGATTTGTTGTAAAAAATAGAAAAAATATAGAGATTTGTTGTATAAAAACAAAACTCTGGGAACGACCACGATAATACGTTGAATACAGGTTGAATAAATAGAACTAAGACAAATGAACTTTATAATATTCAGCTGCACCACAAATAATTCGTTCGGTTTCAACATCGAGGGTACAAGTGGCGTCCCTCAACGCATTATTATTCTATAATTTTTGCTTGTAAAGTAAACAAATTTGGACTTATTCGAGAGTCAGTATAGCTGAATAAGATGACTCTCGTGATGAGAATAGCAGCGGTAGGTGTATTGTACGTAATATAATCATTTTGCAAAAAAAACTTATTTTGTTCTTTTTTTCGTGGAGGAAAAGCTCCGAGATTTATTCTTTTTCTTTTCACAATATACAGATATATGTAAAGGAGAAATGGAATTTTATTTCTTGATTAAGAGAATAAAAAGGTCTCTCGGAGCAATCGGAACTTTATGCCACGAAGACTTTGCGCGTATTATGCCTTTTGATTCGTCAAGGTTTCTTTTATATGTTCACACGAAAACCCACGCCAATCAGAGCGAACCATAATGGATTTATATAATTAAATAAATTATTGAAATTAATATTAAGTGTTGTTCTAGATATTTTTTTTCGTTACAAAATAAATGTCATTTTTGGTTTTCAATAAAAAATTTATTAATTTTATTATGTAATTTTTTTCTATTGGTTAAAATGTGGTTAGGTGTATAGATAATTGTATTTTTATATAAAAAATATGTAAACTAATGATTTTTTTTTTAATTCGTGTTCACAATTTTAAAATGACACTTATAATGAAATAGAGGAAGTTATATGATAGAATCGTGAAAAAATAGAATGAAACTTAAGAGATCTATAATTTCACTTTTTCTTTGATAGTTAAACTTTTATAAACTTTTCTATTCGTGATATATACTAATTCGAATTGAATAATAGTCTAGTAAATATATTCATCACCAGTTTTTTTTTTCTTGCGAATCTAATAAATATATTAAGATATAATCATGCCAAAAAAGTAAACAAATATTTTTCAAAAAAGGTAAACAATAATCTTATTATTAATTTATTTTGAATAAATATTAAATTTATTCGGATCAACTTTTTTTTTTTACAATCAACCATTATTAATAACGAAGTTACGTTCACGAGCTGGTTCTCATGTTAACTGAAGTTGCTTTTGTTGACGATTTTTTCAGGTAAACAAAATATGTCGTTGACGAATTTTTCAGGTAAACAAAATATGTCGGCCCCATCTACTTCCAGTGGATTTACACAATGAGCTGATAATCCAAAAGTGCGGTGAACAAACGCTATAATTTTTTTAAAAAAACTTAAGCGAACATACCGAATTGACGTAAATTCATATTTAGAGTTTGTGTATTAGTTTTAAAACCTGTATTTATAGTAGTGTTGAAACTCGATTTCTTTTCTTTTCTTTAAAAAAACCAACATAATCTAATAATAATATTTCATCCAGTCAAATGAATGCGGTCTTCTACTGATCACATATATTTGATATACTTTGACGGGCTAGCTACCAAAATTAAAAGCTATCAGAATTTCTTTTAAAAATTTATTAACCATTTGATATTTCTGACTTCATCTACAGTTTGTTTCGATTAGACTTTCGTTAATAGTTTTTGTTGATTAATAAACTCAATCTTGAAGATAAAAATTATAGACTCACGGTACCAACATGAAACCCATGAAAATGTGAGCAAGTCACTTCTTCTATCTTATGTTTTATTGTTGTTATGTTATTGTTGTTCATCCTACTGTTGAGCTTGCCTCCGATTATAATGTTTGAAACACTTTAGTTTTAAATTAGTGAAATTTGTGTAAAAAAAAGAAGAAGATAATTCGTCAAACGCCAGCGACTTAACATATATTATATTTGCCCTCATATTATAGTAGTATAAAAGTATGTATATATATTTTTTTCGAGATGTAGTCTAGAGATAGATTTATTTCCGAATATTCAATTACATTCTAATCAATTGATCCATATCAAGCGAATCTAAGTTGGTTTACAATATAAAACTCCTATATGCTACTAAAATATTTAAGAACCGTTTTTTGATTTTTTTTAGTTAAAAATTAAAAAAAATAAATAATTTAGGTTATATTATATTCTGTTAATAATCTCATTCTAAGAATCTTCCATTAAACATGTTGTAAGTTTTATCACGTGGTTGCTGCAACCTGTGTTTCTTTAGATACTAACTTGGAGAGTTTGAGTTACAACATGATATAATATAGACTTTACTTTATTTTGCCGTCAAACTAACTAACTAAATTGGTTTCATTTCTATTATTTAGAACAGAAAATCCAAATATTGCATGGATGAACCTACGAAAAGTCAACCAAAAAATGGTTTCCACTTGTTGACGTATAACTGGCATAACTACAAATGTGATATAATATGTACATGTTTTCTTAACCTTAGACACTAAGCCACATATTATGTATACATTATATATGTATACATTCGGCCGACGACTTTGACGTAGTCCAACAAACACACCGCTGCTTGTCTGTTTATTTTACTTTTTACCGCAAAAGATCATTCCATTCAATACAAATCGCTGTTAAAATGACAATTAAATTTTAAATATACTTGTTGACTAATTAAGATTACATATATTTGTTTTGGTCTGTAAGACTGAAAATTTTGGATCTTCAGTTCATACCAATATCCGAACTCAGTTTTACAATTTTTAATTTTAAAATAATGTTCAATACCAAAAAGGGTTTGAATTTGTGAAACGAATAATTTGATCTCTTTGTAATACCACTAGATTGTCACATTTTCAATCTTATAGATCTGTTTTAACTGTTTCTTAATTACCATATATTGTACACTCGTCATTGTTTGAATGAATGTTAAACTATATTCAAACGAGAAAACCTTTTTACAATAATGCAATCAAAGGAACTTATATTCGTCATTGTTCTAAAGTACATTGGAGGTTTTGGGTTAGAAGTAGTTTTTAAGTAAAAACAGTTTATAAAGAAAGTTACCAAAGAGAGAGTTTATACAAAGCAATACTTTAGTTCATGTAGTGGAAGTGGTCGTGAGCAAAGTAGATAAATAATATTTCCCTTGTTTCCTTTTTGCCTCTAGTGAAATAACCTTATAATCTTCGAATAGTCAAACTTAAGAGAGGTCGGAGACGTCAAAAGTTAAGTCACAATTTTTTTGTATTTGTATGTACATGTCCATCAAAATCAACGACAGAAACAAAAGAGAGAAAGATTAAGATAATTAGAAAAAAATAATAACCACGTTGACTAGTTAATCCAAAACAACGTAAGAATAATTTCAGCGACGTTTAAGGGTTTAGGAATCAATATGTATGCATTAAATTACAGTTTAATTATACTTCTCTGATAATCAAGTTAATAAACATTGATCTATTTACACATATTGCATGTAAGAAGTACGTAAATCAAGATAACTCATCTAGACTTTGATCAATCAAAACAAATGATTACTTATGAGCATCATAGATTTGAAACTCTGCTTACTATTTAATAGTATTGATTTGGTACGAAATACCAGTTTGTTTACGACACGGATTTTAATTGGACATAGATAATCGACGTCTAAAAGCTATGTTTTATTATGTGGTTTTGATATGTTTATAACCATATATAATTTAGAAACAAAACAAGATGTGGGTCACTGGTCTAGTCTTAAAAGAAAGTACCCACTTGC